GTCTGTAGTGTGAGAACTGCTGTAATGAAAACATGTCAATCCAAAAGAGAAGTATAATTTGTCAGCTTCATAATATCAGTCACTAACGACAAAAATAACTGTTGCGGTATGAAAGTTTTCATCAGCATAGGACAGAAACGGATCACTGTGCAATTACAGTGCAGACCGCTTAAAGCTGTCTCAGATGTGGTGAATTTCTGTTGAAAAGCAAAGAGGTGCAAGGATGCAGATTTAAAAAAAAAGAAATCTTTCTGTCCCAAGCAATGCACAACAGCAGAAAGAAAACAATCATGAATATTACCTCTAAAGAAGAAACATGTAATACACCTTGTGTAACATTTACTGTGCCTTGTTGATATACATACCCAGCTTGTTTGAGTTTAGACTGTCTTAAAATAGGTCCTTTACTTTATTTAACAGATAAGGGCATACTTATATGTAATACTTGTTCTGAACATGTTTTTAAAGATCTTATCTAAAGATCATCCGCTTTGTTTTTGAATGGGTCTTTATCTTCATAGCGGCTGCAAATATTCTTTTAACACATTTTCCCTGATTTCAATGTTTTTCCAGTGTACTCTATTTGAGATTGCCAATACAGCTGGATTTATTCCTAATGTCTGTAGTCAAGTGTTTAACAGTGTGATATATCACTTATCAAGAAGTGCTTTAATAACAGAAAATATCCGTATCCGAATTATTATTATTTGTACTTCTCATTTAGCACCGTTATCGTCATCACCATCATCAACAGCATCCACTTATTGCTTTTCATCTCCAACGGTAGATATTCCTCTTCTTTTCCTGCCTCCACTCTTCATTTTCAAAGTGTTGTTCTTTTCTCTTTGTTTATTGTGTTTTAAAGGTAAGCTGGTTATCACAATCGAAAGTCTTACAGGTGAATGAGACAGCTCTGATAGTCACATTTTCAGCTCATTTCTAAGTACTGGTGCCGCGGGATGGTGGACTCAACTCCAGCGGCTCTGGTGCTTACTACAGGGCCAGAAAAACAACATAAAAGCCATAAGCTGGACAAACTGGTTCTACATAAGCAAGACGGAAGCAGAAGTGAATGTAGAAATGGCGTCGTGAGAATAAATGAATGTACAGTTATCTAGTAATTAGGCGTTTGTAAAATGCTCTTCATTTATTTTTCTACATGTTCCTCTTCCTTTCTTTGTCAGACTAATCACACTGCCTACTGGTTTGGAACTAACACAAATGTATATATTCATTTGAAACTAACACATGCAATATCTACTGATCGGAAACTCACACATTTTAATATCTACTGATTTGGCTGTAACATTTATATGCAATGAATTAGAACTCATGCATGTAATATGCATACAATATTGAACAATTAATGCAATAATATATCTTGATTTTGAACATGCAAATCTATTGATTTGTAATTAGCGCATACAGTTGTTAACTAGGAACTGACCCATTTTATACATGTATTTAGTGATTTGGAATTTAGTGCAGATAATATTTACTGACTTGAAATTAACACTTTCCCTAAGAGTGGACAGCCCAGAGCTCTCCTCACAGCCTTTCAGCAAGGGTCACTTGACGATAGAGTGAACAATGGCCTCTGGGTGACTGACCAATAGTGTTGCTTCCGTGAGCTCTTGAACATTCAGGGGACCAAGAAATTATTATGATCTCAATAACTGTTATTTAAAAAATTAAACTATGTATAAACATATTCAAAACGTGTCTTTCTCATAACAATAAATTTATAATTTGCCAGTGGACTGTAAGAAGAAAAAATGTGTTTCCAGACAATTGCTGTAGGAGCTTCCTCTCGTATTTTACATATATCTTAGATATTTGGTTCGATCCCAGCTGCGGGCCATGCGCCTTGCATTGGTTTCGACAGTGGTATCAAGAGAGCCGACCGTCCAGGAAGCAATGGCAAACTACTGGATGTAAATTTGCCTAGTAAAGCAACACAACAGCTAGGGGCTGTTGGGGTTGGTTCTGCAACGTCCTGTAAAGGATATGCAACTAACCTTAGATATTTAGATGGGACAAATATTCTAGTGTTAGCAGCTTCAGATTGTGTGCCAGGTCAGCAATCATTGTCTAATGATGAGAAAACATGCCAGTTGATTAGTCAGTGTCCACAGTTTACAGCCTGAGTCAATGATTACAAACAGCTTTCAATGCTTAGTGATTATTGAGGATTATCATCACATCTGCAGACTGATTCACAGGTGCGCAAATCTTGTCCTCTATTAAACGTCTGATAACCCCTGTTCTATGCTGATTAATCAAACATCCTCTTAGTATGGTCATCATTATTGCAAGACAGTGGAGCAGAGGGAGGATCTTAGCGCAGTCATACAATCTCCATTATGAGAACAAGAATCCTTCACTTCCATAGTCATATATGATGGGTAGATTGTCGATGTTGCTGCTAGAGCCACTGATTGTAACTGACTCACAGAGCATGTTGAGAAAGGAGAAAACAGACATGCTTCGTGCAAAGTGGCAAGAATCACTTCAGAGGTCCCAGGTAGTTAGCATCCTTGGAATATTTTCTCCAGGTCATGCTAATGTGTTGGGAAATGAGCAGGCAGATAGACTGGCTGGCTCTGCACCACCTGGTGGTGAATTTATGAACAAGTTAGATATTTTGAGGGCCCTTTGGGAACGGGTGAACAGTGCAGAGACGCTGATTGATCATTATGGTCTAAGGAGAATAGCTCTGCGAGGAGTTACCAGGGGATCTGGTCAACGCTCAACACTCAGGGGACGGATGAGATGGATATACAATCAGACGGTTACTGGTACAACCCCAACTGGAACTCTGCGCTTGCTGCTGAAGATGGGGACTCAGCACTAATGGGAGTGTCATGAATGCTGTGATGTCGACTCTTAATTCAACATTCAGCTAAGGCCACAATGTCTATCAGCCACAACCACATCGACAAAACAATAGGAAAAGCATAGCTTCATTACACCAACTTCTCACAGGCATCCAGCAGTATTTCACATTGCTGCACTGTTTTTAAACTGCTTGTTTGTGTCATCCAAGTGAAATAAGCTGGATAAAATCAAGAAAATCAATGCTCCCGTATAACAACACAAATCACACGGCCCCATATAAAAAGTGGAGGTCTCAGTGCTTAGAAATAGTCTCCAATGATCTGAACCTCGTGACAAAAACAATGTTACATGTTTAGATGCAGTGCCAAATATACAATGTTCTACAATTTTGTTCTGGTAACAAGATTTATTTTTTTGAAAAAATACATGATGGGGTAAAATAACAAAACATACACAGTTGTAAAAAGTGTCAACCTTTCATAGCCACCCTCAGTTTAAAAAAAAAGAAAGAAAAAGGGTGGTCCATATTACAATAATAGATAAATAACTATACTCCTAAGAGAAAAACCAAAGCAACAAAGTAGTTCAACACTTGCCTGCCTACCCAAAAGGTCTTAGGTTCAAATCCACCTCGTGGTGAATTTGTCTTAAAATTGATCTTGGCTCCCAGTTCAACCTAGCCTAAAATGGGCACTAGGTAACTAGGTAATGTCCTAGGAAGTAAAGGTGGTCGGCAAAATGTAGACCCCATCACCCACGATCGGTCTATAACAATATGAGCCTAGCATCATATGCCCTTTTTAAGCCATTTGTAAACTCCAGCGAAAAGTTCTTGTCCTTTATCCACCTTTGGACTTTAGTCTTGTCCAGCGCCTGAGTGCTGTGTGCAAATCAATTTCATATCTGATTTCTTTTTTTAAATGCAGAGTGTTGATTCCTTGCCTGTCAGGCAAATGAATTTCAATTTCGAAGGAAGCACCCCAAATGGTGGACTTTTACGACATGCTTGTTTGGGAGGCACTGGGTTTATACTTGTTTTTCCCCCCCAGTGGGGCCTCAGAACCAACAGTGGGAAGGATGTAGTTTAAACCTGAAACCACAATATTCAGAGCATGAGACAAACAGTTCAACCACTTCACCAAGGAGACCCCTAGGAATAACCAATAAAGAAGTGATATTCTGTTGAGAAAAGTGCTACATATTGTAAGGGTTATCCCCATGTGGGTTCCAGGGTTTCGTTGTGAGGGGAAAAGGGAAATCCTCACTGCGCCCCCACCCCCAACAAGTTAAAGTTAGTTGCGTATCCTTTACAGAACGTTGCAGAACCAACCCTAGCATTTTTTTTGGCTGTTGTGGTTTTTCTAGGCAAATTTTACTTTCAGTAGTTTGCCATTTTTCTCTGAATGGTCAGCTCTCTGTTTCAATGTCGAAACCAACACAAGACATACTGTCTGCAGCTGGAATTGAACCCGGTACCCCGGCATTACAAAGCGTGCTCGCAACGCCTAAGCCACAGGCGCCGACACCCTCAACAAGCACACTGTAAAAGAATGAGTGTTTTCTTTGAAGCTGGAGTGCATCTGCCTGAGAGGTGAGGAACCAACAGTCTGCATACAAATAACCCAGCGACAGATAGGACAAATAAAGATCCATTTTCAGGCTTTTAGGCGTTTCGGGCATATGTGACGAGCACCTACATTTTTACAGACCAATCGGCACTCGGTGGGTAATGTGGTTAGCATTACGCGGGCTGTCTCTACTTCCCCAAGACATACATCCTGGTACCCATTTTAGGCTGGGTCGACCTGCAATGCCCCATAACATGATAACATTCCATGCAGCCAGCGGTGGGTTTCGATTGTGGTACCTTGGAATTACGAGTCGGACTTGCAACGCCTAAGCCACAAATGCTGACATCCCCAACAAGGACATTGTAAAAGAATGGGTGTTTTCTTTGAAGTTGGAGTGCATCTACCTGAGGGGTGAGGAACCAACAGTACGGATACAAATAAGCCAGATGTGTAAAACAGATGTGCACGCACATGTCAGGTTCTGGAACAAGACCAAAGTCCAAAAATGGACAAACAACCAGAATTTTCCACTGGAGTTTATAGCCGGTGAAAGCCAAGAAGAAAACAAAAAGAAGTGTAAACATTTAACAACTAGTCTTCAATATTCTCTTTGTCCTCGTCCTCAATTCTGTCCCCACTCTCTGGTCTAGTTAAGTCTGCTGAAGTGTCTGCCTGCTGAATGCTGTCCTCTTTTTCTTCTTCCTCATCTTCCTCTTCTTCATCACTGTTTCCATCCTCAAGTAAGAAAAGACGAACTCTGCGCTGTGACATCAGAAGCTATTAAATAAAAAATTTAAAAAAAACATTAGAGTCAAAGGAATATGTTTGCTAGTGATTGCAGTGACTGTTTCACTGTAAAGCAGTGGTTTTCAAACTTTTTTAGGTAGCCCCCCCCCCGCTTCGATTAAACCCCCCCCCCCCACCAAAAAAAAAAAACTTACAAAGAAAAAATATGATTAACAAGAGAAAACAGATGTAAAAACTGCTTGTAAAAAAAAAAAATTGACATTTAAAAAGACATCCTTGGTTGTTTTTCTTTTTTCTTTTTTCATAACGGATGTTTATAACATATTTGTTATTTTTAAAGAAATAAACTGTCATCCCTAACAACTGCCATCCTTTCACACATTTAAACAAAAAATATATGATTCCCATTTATTACATTAAAATAGTGACAAGTCTCAATTTAATTATGTGCTGCTTCCACAATGAGGGCTGGTTACAGTGTAGCACTTCTCTCTTTGGGAACATTATGTGGTCAGGCCCCAATCCCTTCTATATCGCCACTTTTGTACCCCAACCTGATAAATGCTGTTTCTATTTAAATGAACCATGCACTGCGGAAATCAAACAGTCTTACATCAGGATCATGCACTGTTAAACGCATTCACTAACTGAAAACCACAGAGCTACCCAGTGGAAAGGTCTGTCTTCATCTGACTACTTTAGTAATGTCAGTATTGCTTGATTTTTCATAAATTTGTCATGAATCGTTCATCAGTGTTGTTAATAACCTTTCCTTACTGATAATTTACAGATTTTAACATTCCTGAAATGACATAATTTTTAGAGTATAATTCATTTCTGACCTGCAATTAATGAATTTATGCTATTCCTTAGATATTACAATGATGGCTAACTGTTTGTCTTTAACACCCTGATTTACATTTTGTTAGGGCACTGTAGAAAGGGGTGAGGGCTTTGTCCACAGCCTGAGGGCTTACTGTAGTCGCCATGAACAGTGCAGGCTTCTATTTATAACCCCCCCCCCCCCCCCCCCCCCCTTTTCCCCCCAACAAGCCATTGTGGGATACAAAAACAAATCTAACAAAATAAATAAAATAAAAGGCAGCACCACTGGAACATACATTTACCATAAAATAAAAACCGAAAAAGACAGAAGGATTCATAATTACCCCACTGAGGCTTAATAATTTTTCAACATGTACAAATCTTTTTTTCTTTTCAAAATGACAGACAGACAGACAGACAGAAAGAGAGACAGACAGACAGACAGACAGACAGACAGACAGACAGACAGACAGACAGACAGACAGACAGACAGACAGACAGACAGACAGACAGACAGACAGACAGACAGACAGACAGACAGACAGACAGACAGACAGACAGACAGACAAATAAGCTGTCTGTCTAAGCTTCAATCAGAACATGACAAGAACCTCTGCAAGCAAATAATTAGTTGTTGGGTATGGAATTGTGTTGTGAATGATAAATTGCAGTACCATAGATGCTGTTGTCCTGATGCCACCCACTGAGATAGTCCGACCAATGGCATTGTTCTGGTAGCTGACACTTGCCTTGGGAAGCAGTGGTCCTATATCTACAGTGTTCCTGGATATGCAAAAGACATAGTTTATGTTTGGGTAGCAAAGCACAGACTCCTCAAGACATAGAGTACAACCTCATGAACATGAAGTCTGCAAAAAAACATGCGCGCGCGCGCACACACACACGCATGCACGCACACACACACACACAGTTTGCTGTAAACCACAACACAGAAGGCTAACTGCTCTTTTAAGAGTGAACACAGGAGGAGGAGAAGAAGAATGTTCATGCCTTGAAGCATTATATACATAAATGGCCAGCATTGCACCAACAGCTTTTACTTTCCCAGATATTTCCTCTAACTGTAACCAAATAATTCTTGTTTAGGCTGGTTCGCTGTGGAAGCCTAGGGCCATTTATATCAGCCTCACAGGTGATTTCATCTACTGTGACTGGGCTGACCAGCAAACAAACAAATCCCTTCACTGCTGAGGTTCCCAACAACAGTTATTTACATTATTGATATTTCACATAAATTTTACCATTTCATAAAATGGCTCTAAATTTCGTATGGCAAACTTTTCTCAGTTAATTTTAAATATCAGCAGTATTAATGAGTAGGCTCTGTGGCTAAGTCAATGCGAACGCTTTGTAATGCTGGGATGCCGGGTTCGATCCCAGCTGCAGGCCATGGGCCTTGCGTTGGTTTCGACAGTGGTATCAAGAAAGCCGGCAGTCCAGAAAGCAATGGCAAACTACTGGACGAAATTTTGCCTAGAAAAACCACACAACAGCCAGGGGCTGTTGGGGTTGGTTCTGCAACGTCCTGTAAAGGATACGCAACTAACCTAGTATTAATGATACAGGCTATGTGGTAGTTTGTCAAAGGTGTCTGACACAACTCACAAAGCATGTTGAGAAAGGTGAAAACAGGCATACTTCCTGCAGAGTGGCAGGCATCACTTCAGAGGTCCCGGGTAGTTAGCATCCTTTGGATATTTTCTCCAGGTTATGCCGATGTGTTGGGAAATGAGCAGGCAGATGGACTGTGGCTGGCTTTGCACCACCTTGTGCTGAATTGATGTATGACAAGTTAGATATTGTGAGGGTCATTTGGGAATGAGTGAACAGTGTTGAGGTGCAGATAGATCATTACGGTCTAAGGAGAATGGCGCTGCGAGGAGTTACCAGGGGATCTGGCCGACTCTCAACACTCAGAGGCAAGGATGAAGGATATATAATCAGACAGTTACTGGTACCATCAGAACTGGAACTCTTCACTTTCTGCTGAAGATGGGGACTGAGCACTAATGGGAGTGTCCCGAGTGCTGCAATGTCGATTCCTAATTCTACATGCAACATTCAACATTCAGGTGTCTGACACATTTACTCTGTGATGCTGTAAACATAATTCATAGCACATAATTCAGTTCAGATTTATGTAGACTGTCAGTATTATTTAGACAATTTATGAGAAAGAATGGACTGGAGAACTTATAACAACTGACAAGATTAATGGAAAGAGAGCGAAGGATGGCAAACAGATATAAATACTTGGATGGCCTGGCCACATGGATGGGGGTGATACAAAAACATTGATCTGGCATAATTATTTCAAAACAGCAATAAATAATTCATGTGTGTGTAAACAAACTATTAAATTTCATGTATTGGTGTGGACAACTAACATATACTGGAACTAGCTGGTCTGGAGAATTAAGCTGATAGAAGGTGTACTAAGAAAATATGAAAATGCAGTATGATTTCAATTTATCATGAATTTACCAGGGCCAGACAAACAAGTTGGTATTTTAAAAACTGGGCACTAATGATAATGATACATCAGTTTGTTAACAGTTAATTCTGTTAACAGATAATTAACTTTAATAATTGGTGTTAAAATAAACGACTGGGTGCTGTCTAACCAGATGTTTGAATTATTTGATATTGTGTAATTTGATGCCAGACTCATTTTATTTTGCATAACTTGGTATATGAACGGGTGAGCCGTGTGTAATTTGATGTCTGAATCCTTTTATTTTTTTATCGTTTGATACATGAATAAGTGAGTCCTGTGCAATGTGAAACAACCATCAGATTTATCTACAAGACCTTTGGGGCCAGTAGATAACAGTCTAGCCGCTACACCATAACGGCTGCCTATTCTTGAACTGATGATGTGTGAATGAGCAACTTACACTGTACAGGCATGTCCCAACTTTGAGGGCTCCATTGTCACAAAATGCCTGTCCTCTATCGACTGTAGCGGAAGCTGCAGCAACAGCGTGACATCCTCATCGATGTCTTCCTTCAGCATCAAGGTCAATGTTTGACTATTGAACACAACAAAGTCCAGAAACAGGTGCTTGCCACAAACTGATCTGAAATGAATTAGAATGAAAACTGTCATTACTACATGTATGTCTATTATTTTGGCTGACTACGGAGTCGTTTGTCCTGAGCCTTTTGAGCCGTGGGAGGCGTCGTGGGAGGCGCCGTGGTGTAGCGGCTAGACGCATGCCTGCGGATAGGAAGGTAGTGGGTTCTGTTCCAGACAAAGCTGCAATTCCCCTCCCCCCACCCCAAAAAAAAAAACAACAACCTTGGCTTCCAGGTCGACCAAACCTTGAGTGGGTACCAGGTGCAGTCCTGGGAAGTAAAGGCGGCCGGTGTAATGCTGACATCACCCACCTAGTGCCGATTGGTCTATAAAATATAAGGCTAGCCCTATAGGCCCAATACGCCTGAAGGTGTGGATAAAGGGTCATTTACTTTACTTATTTGGAGCCGTATGATTAGTGCAGTCGCCATGCACTGTGCATGTTAGGATTTTACTGCTGCACCTCACAGAAGAAAAACCACAATCTTACTGAGAATTTTAATCCAAATATAGCCCCTCCCCCACCCCCACCCCTTCTCTCTCTGCTTACGTAACCTAGTCTCGCTCTCTCTCGTTCTCTCAGTAATTATCTCTTTTGTCTGCCTAATATTTCCCCCGTCTAAAGCCATCTCCTCATCATCCCAAAACATGCCCAATATCTACTTATCCACTTCTCGCAACATAAACTATCATCCTGTCTTTCAAACTCCATGTTTGCAAGTGCTGTCTTCCATAAACATAAACCATTCATTCAATTTCTTACAAGGACCGCTGCATTACCTTGGACATGCCCCAGTTAACCATACATTCATAATTTGAGGGGTATTTTTATGAATGAATCTAACAATAGAAAGCAGCTGAAACAAGCGAGTTTAGCTAGTAATGAACTGTTTATAGCAAAAAATACCTAGTGTTTTATTAGTCTGTTTAAAGAATAAAGTATAATGTATGACAAGTTAGATACTGTGAGGGTCCTTTGGGAGTGAGTAAACAGTGCAGAAGCACAGATAGATCATTTGGCTTTGGGGAGATCGGCGCTGTGAGGAGTTACCCGGGGATCTGGACGACGCTACACTCAGTGGAAGGATGAGAGGGATATACAATCAGACGGTTACTGGTACCATCAGAATTGGAACTCTTCGCTTGCGGCTGAAGATGGTGATTGAGCACTTATGAAAGTGTCCCGAGTGATGTCGATTCTTAATTCAATATTCAGAAAGACAGTGCATAGACTGTGAAAGAAAAAGCCGGCGACAGACACAATTGTAAGAACACAGTGAGGTATAGGACAGAAAAAAGCCGGTGACAGACACAATTGTAAGAACACAGTGAGGTATAGGACAGAAAAAAGCCGGTGACAGACACAATTGTAAGAACACAGTGAGGTATAGGAAAGAAAAAAGCCGGTGACAGACACAATTGTAAGAACACAGTGAGGTATAGGACAGAAAAAAGCCGGTGACAGACACAATTGTAAGAACACAGTGAGGTATAGGACAGAAAAAAGCCGGTGACAGACACAATTGTAAGAACACAGTGAGGTATAGGACAGAAAAAAGAGATTGAAGGACACTTTAAACGATGTACATATTTTAACCCATTATGACCATGTCGGGATTCGAACTGGACACCTTCAAATTTATCTTGCCGACATGTATGGTAGACATTAACTTCACTGGGGTCCTAATGGAGCAATGATGCACAATACAAGACTCCTCACATAATGCTTCAAGTCACAGTGGACACTAGGCACGACCACTTTTTTTTTTTTTTAAGCCGTGGCAGTTCTGCCAGGCGGTGGCCGTTGCATTTTTGCTCCATTTGTAGACTGGAAGGATATAGTTTCGTCACCCAGCTTCTGAGTTAAGTGCATGGTGTGACACTGTGAGCTACGAGTGTTTTTCGTTGGCACAGGAGCGGAGCAACAATGGGGTGACCCGTTTGCTATGATGCTGAAACTAGGATTACCAGATTACCAGAATACAAGACTCTTAATGTCTATTAGCCTCTCTTGCTCAAGCCTACCTCACCTTCACGTGGTGGACCCTGTTCTTCCCAGCAATCCAGTTGAAGGTTGGGGTCTCAACCCCCAGCGGGAAACTTGATGGGACAACAAACGAGGTAAAGGCGAAAGACGAATGGGTGAGCCTACTCTCCTCGAGTATGACCACAGTCTACCCTTGCAAAACAAGGTGCTGAAGTCGGAGGCAACCAGCCAAGAGGCGAACCACAGCAATCAGGATGCCACGCACACACGCTATGGAAACATGTCTAAATCAGCAAAACGTTATGGTGCTCGCCCTGTGATGGACTCTGCCTCAATAGGCCCAACCCATAATTACTGGAGGTCCTTCTCAAATGTCCTGTGGAGCCAGCGGACGTGAGAATAGAGCATCTGGCCGAACTAAGAAAAGAATGCAGAGGGGATTACAAATAAAAAGCTAGAGTTAGAAAATATTCTAAATGAGGAACAGATTCATATATGCTGTCTACAAGACACCCAGCTCTCTGAAGACACAGTCTTCAAAATCAGAGGTTATCAGTGCTTCCGATCAGATCGGAAAGGCAGGAAAAAGGGTGGAATACTGACTCTTGTGAGGAACAATACCACTGCGTGCCAGACTGAAGTATATATGGATGGAGCAGAATATCAGATTATGAAACTACAAACTGGAAATGCAGACTTCTACCTGATCAATTATTACTGCCCAAGTGATCGTCCCCAGGCATTAGACACAAGAAGGTCAGAGAAACTAGTACGCTGCCAAGGTGGAACTACAAGAAGGCTGTGTTCACACAGTATACTGCTTGGAAGTCTCAGCGTAGACCAGGATATAAACAGAGTAGTTAAAGAATTTAACAAATGCGTACTAAAGGCAGCAGGAGAATCAATACCAAGAGGTGCCGGTAAACATTATAAGCCATACTGGAGTAATGAGCTAGAAAATTTACATAACGAAGTAGAAACATCCAGAAAGAAAGCAGATACCAGGCCAAACTAAGAACATCACAATAACTACCAGCATGCAAAAGCAAAATTTGTAAGGGCAAAGCTGCAGGTTAGAAGGGAAAGCTGGCAGGAGAAAACAAGGTCGTTGAACTTTGAAAAAGACACAAGAAAGTTATGGAAGCTTGTGAAACAAATTAATGATGAGGACACAGGGTGGAACTCAAAGATCTCGCGCAGAAAGATGGAAACATGGTCACAGGAAAAGAGGCAGCCAACCTATTTGCGGACACTGTTGCTTTAGATAACGACATTGAAATCAGTTCAGAGAAAAAACACGAAATTCAAGAAAAGACACAAAATAATAGTCAGAAAGAAATAACATCAGAGGCGCTAGAGGTGCCAATTACACTTAATGAACTGGAGTTGGCCATTACAAAGCTGAAAATGCGGAAGTCACCAGATGCAGATGGTATATCAAACGAAATGATCAGAGACTTAGGAACAGTACCCAAAAACAAAGCTTTTACAGATATTTAATGCTTGCTGGGCAACAGGGAATGTTCCACAGATCTGGAGAGAGGCAATTATGATACCCTTCATAAAGCCTGGGAAAGACAGTTCCAATGCCTCCAACTACAGACCGATCAGCCTCACAAGTTGTCTCTGTAAAACAATGGAGCGCATCAACAACCTCAGACTACAGTGGTACATTGAAAGTGAAAACATCATTACACCACAGCAGGCGAGCTTTGGAAAGTTCTACTCTACGGAAGACAAGACAACATACCTCTCCCAAGAAATAGACAATGCTTTTCAAGATAAGAAACTGGTACTCGCGGCATGGATAGATTTAAGGAAAGCTTTTGATAAGGTTTGGAAGGAGGGGCTTTTGAAGAAATTGAGAAACTAAAATAAATGGAAAAATGTACAATTGTATTAAAGCATACCTACATAACAGAAAAGCCCAGGTACAGGTAGATGGCTTCAAAAGTAAAAACGTTCTACTGCGACAAGGCGTCCCTCAAGGTGGTGTCCTGTCGCCCACACTTTTCCTTTTATTCATCAACGACCTGGTTGCTGAGATACCAAATGGAATCAAAATGGCAATGTATGCCGACGACCTGGTACTGTGGTGCACCAATGAACACGCAACAATAGCCACAAAAACACTACAGCGGGCTACAAATGCACTTAAGGCATGGGCCAATAGATGGTGTGTCAGCATCAACACAGACAAATGTAGCACCACACTCTTCACCCTCTTCCCAAAGCAAAAAGCGGGCATCATCAAAATAAACGGAATACTCCAGGGGTCACATTTGATGACAGGTTGACATGGAGAAAACATATCAACAAGGCAGCAACCAAAGCCAGGAGGAAGACAGCGATACTAAGAAAACTAAGTGGAACCACATGGGGAGCCGATGGAAAAATACTCAATAAAGTATACAAGCAGAGCATACTTCCACACTGGAATATGGGTCAACTGCATGGTGTTCAGCATCTAGTACCACATTAAAGGAGTTGGACAAAGCGCAAAATCAAGCGCTCAGAGTCATCACAGGAGGAATGAAATCAACCCCCATATTAGAAATGGAGAAAGCTGGGAAAACACAGGCACTGAGAGAACGCAAATCAAATACAAGCTGAAAAGTTCCTCAGTATGCCAGATCACCCGATGGAAAATAGATTTAAGAATCTAGCCTTGGGACGGTTAAAAAGAAGCAACTGTATACACAAGCAATAAGAATATGCAGACAAACTCCTGACCTTCCAGAAATTGGTTGCCCACTTAAAAGTATTCCGGAACAAACCCCATGGAGAGAAAAATGCAAACAGTACAAATCCAGACAAATGTGAAAGGGATATCTGACAAGAAAGAGCAAGATAGTGTACAACGCAGAATGGCCACCCTCAGTTATATTGATGAAGAATACCCAAAAGAACAATGGGTTAGAGTCTATACAGATGGGTCCACAGAAAGTGC